TGACTGTGGTAACACTTGGTGTGAGGACGTGTTTTGTGGTGGGATGAATGAGTGGCCCCCACAGGCTCCGAGTATATGGACATTTTGTCCTCAGTAGGTAGCACTCTGCGGGGAGGCTTTAGGAGGTGTGGAGGAAGGCTAGAGGAAGTAATCACTGGGGGCGGGCCTGGAGAGTTTATAGCCGCTCCATACCTCTAGTTCAGTCTCTCTGCTTCATGCTTGCTGTTCACAATGTGCCCTCTCACCTCCCTTCTCCAGACACCATGCCTGCCTGATTGGCATGCCACCCCTGCCATTATGGACTCTTTCTGGAATGATAAGCCAAAATAAGCTTTTCCTCCATAAGTTGCTTTTGGTCATGGTGTTTTATCACAGCAACAGAAAAGTGAAAATACAGAAGGTAAACAGGGGCAGATGTTAAAGGAGGCAGAGAGAACAACACAATAATAGTATATCCCTGTGCCCACTTTAGTCGTGACTACAATGTTAGATAGAAAATCAGTACAGAAACAGTGGACACCAGCAATGCTGAAGACCAAATGAACTTCACAGATGTGCAAGAACCTTCCACTCCACAGTGTACACAGAGCACATTCCAGGACAGGTCATGGGGGGTAAGGGGTCATGGAGCAGCAAGTTAGGAAGATTGAAATCACACCAAGCATGTGTTCAGGCCACAACAATGACCAGCCCAGCAAACTATCTCTACTGGTGCAGTAGTAGTACATTCATCCTCGGGGTAATCAACAGCTGTCCAATTGGATTTAAGGCCTGCTCAATAGAAGGGAACGCAGGCATGGTACTATAAACATAGTCAAGTACACATGGATGATGTCACAGACCCCAGAGAAAACCTATTTTTGTCACACCCCTAAACCAATGTAATTTCTTACTATATTTTAAATACATATCCTTATATTTACAGACAAGTGTACTTATCACGACTCATTAAAGAAGCTTCTTTTTGCAAAAGATGGAGGCTATCATGAGGTTTCACAACTCGTCAAACACAGAGAATAAGTGTCTGTGGGGTGTCCATCCCTAAGTGACACATCCACAATACAACCTCTACACCTAAGGTTCAGAAAACATTGCAGAAGAGGGGGTGGAAAGAATGTAAGAGCCAGGGGGAAAAGAAATCAATCTGCTGCTGGTTAATACAGTCTAGATATGATATGGAAGTTACACCCAAGAAATAGCCACAGTATGGTAGTCTAAGGAGATCTGCATAATGACAAAACCAGTTGACAACCAGTTGACACGCCTAGTTAATGGAGGAAATGTCACAGAGTCCCACCTCAAGATGAAGAGCATCAGGCGCTCAAAGGATGCTGAGGGAAAGAGAATCAGTTTTCTCCAGGGACTAGCTCCCTGAGAAGTTATCTAACCACCCTAAACAGAGGTGCAAAGGAACACCACTAAATGGACTCACTGCATTTTTATATATACAATATATCTGTGTGTATTTATACTTATAAATATATGCATATGTAACAATAATCAAAGAAGAGGAAAAAATTGAGAGAAATTGGGGGCACATGGGAGAAGTTGGGGGACTTGGAGGGATGGAGATAATGCAAAGTCAGTACTTATGCATGAAACTCTCAAAAATAAGAAAATAAAAAATTAAAAATGTATGCGTGCAGACAACTGAATAAAATTAGAAATCAGTATCAAAAGGAAACAGGAACACCTCGCAAGTACACAGGAACTGAATAGCACATTTTCAGCAATCAGTGGGTGAAAGGAAATCAGGTCAAAGTATGAAGAGGCCCAGCCAAGACATGGGAGAAACCAGTGGGGAAGTTGGGGAGTGATGAAGAGCAAAGCTTGATACATATATGAAAATGTCACAATGCGACCCATACATGTAAAAAAAAAAGAAAACAAAAAAGAATATAAAACAAACAAATTATCTCAGGACAGATTAAAACTTGTAAAATAAAGCTGGGGTGTTTCTCAGGGGTGCAGCACATGTTTAGAATGCTAAAGGCCTTGTGTTCGATCCCTAACACAAAAGTAAAGTCAAGTAAAATATTTTTAAAAAAGGGAAAAGAAGTACTGAAGAAAGTTTATAATGGTAAATGCCAATATTAAAGAAGAATTATTGGTGAGAAATACTTGCAATCCCAGCAAGGATTGGGGGTGGGGTACCCGGGAGGAATATAAATTTGAGGTCCTGATATGCATAGCAAGATGCTGTCACAAAACCCCCACAAAAATTAAAATGGAAAATAATCACAAGTAAAAAGCTTAAAGGCTGGCAAGATGGTGTGTAGGTAACGATGCTTGCAACAAGCCTGATAACCAAAGTCCAATCCTGGGACCCACACAGATACATACACACACACACACACACACACACACACACACATGCGTGTGCAAAATGATAAAATACAAAAACGCCTTAAATGTTTAACCCTAGCAGATTCAACTAGTGCTCAGCCATAAACAAGACATTTATACCTCCCCCTCTAAGGATCAAGGAATGTGTCAGAGAAGGAATCAGAAAGAGTGGAAAAGCCAGAAAAGGGGGAGAAGGTCTGTGGAATACCATCTTCTCACCTTGGTGTGTTGCTATGTTCAACTACAACAGCCACTGTTACCTTGGTAACCCCACAAGACCTGGCCCTGTCAAGAGAAATAGAGGCAGGAGGGTCTCATGTGCCGCTATCCCTTCCTGCAGAACCATTGGCCACTGGTGGATTCGGGGAACCTGGGAGCCATTGTCTTCAGTTGAGTACTAACCGGTGAGCCCACCAGGCTCCAACAGAGAGTTCCAAATCCATGCTGGCACAGATAGTCCTGGTTACACTCAGCAGGTCCCAAAACAAAACAAAAAGACATGAATGTGAGAAAGACCTGGAAAGGGGGTTAAAAGGGATGGGAGGGGGTAAAGAGAGGTGTGTGAATAATCAGAAATCAGAATGCATTATATGCATATAATATCAATTTATTTAATAAAAACACTCAAGGAATTAGAAAAAGAACACAAATCCCCACTTAATAGAATTACTTTTTATGGAACAAATTCAACTGACTAGTTCTCACTACAATAACACTTGCTTACATAATTCCTAACTTCTCATTTTTCTCCGACATACTGTGAGCTGCCCATTCCTGTAGGGTGTCTCTCCTCCCCTGACCCTGATCGTCCTCAGATGGCTCTTTCCAAAGTTGACCTAGAAATCACACTTGGCTGAGGAGATTGTTTAGCAGCCTCTGCCCTGTGGTGTCCACTCTTTCATATTTACTGTCTACTCAGGGATGTGCCATGAAGGGGTGGGTCCAGCTGGACACTGCCTTTTCCAGGATCCCAGACGCTACTTCTACCACATGGAGAACAGCCTCCACTTACTGACCCCTAAAGGCCCGAGATCAACTGGCCCCTCAGCATTGGCTTGTGTTCTGTGAAATGGTCATTCTCCATCCAGGGATCCTTTGTTTCTCTTTTTCTGTTCATGGTCATGACCTGCAGACTTCACACATATTATAGTGGACCATTTTTTAATGCTACAAACAGATAAGGACTATTTAATGGGAACCCACATTGTTCAACGTCATGAAACTTTAATGTCCCCAACCTATGTTGTACACTGGTCTAAAGTCAGTATTGGCTGAACCTCTCCATGTCCCAGACAGCAGGGCACTATGACCAATCTGAGGAGTTGAGATGCTCACAACAGGCTCCACATGAGAACCCTCAGATGAGATGCCAGTGTCCAAGAGACAAACAGACATGAAATAGAAACAGGCCCTGGCTGTAGCAAGGGGATTCTTCCCCTAGAAACAGGAACATTGAGGAGGCAAGAACAGCCCAGAGGTTTGTTCAGAAAGATCGAGGTGGGCGCTGTTGTTAAGAAAAGAATGGAATTCTTTTCATGTAGGGGACTCTGCTCAGCAGAGGAAACCCACAGCCAGAGCCAGGAGAACCACTGTTTCTTTCCTTCCTTCTCTCCCTCATCCCTCTTCTGTGCTCACTCCCAGGGTGATGCTCCAGATTAGTGGCACAGTCAGGCACTTAATGCATCTCTGCTGCTCTGTGTCCTCCTTGCAGCATCAACCTGCATCTTCTCTGAAGCATCTTCAGGGCTGAGAGACAAGTGGCCATGGTAAGGTTCCCACAGGGCTGTGCAGATAGTTGGGCTGAAAGAATGAGAGAGATCCTGCAGGGAGTCCCTAAGAGGGAAGGACCAGCCACCCTCAACTGGAAGGGGCCAGCTAAGGAAGTCACCAGTTACCAAGTGTATTAGCTGCTGCCCCCTGGCTCTCAGTGAGGTGAGGATGGATCAGGCAGATTTGGGTGGGATTGAGGGAGCTGCTATTTCTGTAAGACATGATGACAGAGTCTGGAGCAGCCACAGCCCTGGGGAAATGGGAGGCAGTCATCTAGGGAGGGCAGTTTCCCTTCCTATGGGTATTCTGAAGAAATAACCGCGTGATAACAAACAACCAGTCTCTGAAGGTCACACACTCTGCTATCTGTCCATCCCGTCGGACACCGTGGACTCTTCCATGAGCACAGTTGCATCCAATGGGAGAAGGTGTCATGGCCTTCATCTTCACTGTCCTCTGTCTGGGTGAGATTTAAATATGGGAAGAGGACATTATGGTCTTGGAGGGACCCTTCTGCACACCTGGGCTCTATCCCATCAGGAAACCCCAGGAGGCTTAAGAGATTTCAGGGAGAAAAAGCACTGCTTGGGTATTGAGGGCTAAGGTCTCACAGGGAACTCTCTTCCAGGGCTGAGTCTCAGCCAAGAAACCCCAGTGCTGCCGGGTGAGTGTGTCCCCATCTGTCTCAGATCACTCTTCCCTGGGGACCAGGAGCCACCTTTGTATAGTAAGGAGGGAGGACAGTGGGCAGAACTTGGTGACACCTGGGGGATCCTGGAGCTGAGGATTGGGGATATGAGTGTGCTGTGTTGAGATCCAACTACTTAATTCCTTGCAGAGAACTCCAAGCCAACTCTCAGGCTCATCCAAGCTGTGTGGTCATCATGAGAATGCAGGTAACTATCTCATGTGAGGCAACCATAAGGACCCAGGTGTACCACCTCTATAAAGAGGGAAGCCTCCATCCCTGGCTCACATGGTACGCACCAGAGCCTCACAACAGGGCTGAGTTCATCATCTCACCCATTAAACAGAACCATGCAGGGAAATACCGCTGTTATCATCAGACCCCTGCTGGCTGGTCAGAGAAGAGTGACCCCCTGGAGCTGGTGGTGGCAGGTGAGAGGACACTCAAGGGTCTCAGCCCTGGTCTTTGCCCACAAGAAAGGAGTCTGCTTTCAGGAGTATTGCCGCTCCAGCCAAGTCCTGGGGGACAACGTAGGCTGTGGATCGAAGTTAACATGCTGCTTCCTCTTCTCCTAGGAGTCTAGCACAGCAATATCAGCCTGTCAGCCCTGCCCAGCCCTGTGGTGACCTCAGGAAAGAATCTGATCCTCCAGTGTGTCTCACAGCTGCGATTTGATAGATTTGTTCTGACTAAGGATTGAGCACAGAAGCCCCCCTTGATCCTAGATTCACAATCTATAAACTCTACCGGGCAGTTCCAGGCCCGGTTCCCTGTGGTCCCTGTGGACCCTGTAGGCCCTGTGACCCTCAGCCAGAGATGGACGTTCAGATGCTACGGCTATCCTGTCACCAGCCCTCAGGTGTGGTCAGAACCCAGTGAACCCTTGGAAGTACTTGTTTCCGGTAAGGAAGCGCTATCATGGGCTCAATCATTTTTCAAACTTCTAAGCTCTTCACCATTGGACTTTGCTTTTCCCCAGGGAAGTTTGGGGGAGTCGGTGGATGAGGACAGCCTCTAAAGGGGAGGCTCTTTAGGGGAGCTCCTAAACCAGGATCCTAGAGGAGGAGACGTAGTGACACCTGCAGGACAGGATGGGGGGAGGCAGATGTTGATAAGAACCAACTCTTCAACCTCCAGCCCATCTTTCCTACTAAGTCGTCCAGAAAGCCCTCAAAAAGTCTTGCTGACCCAGAAAGGCACTATTCTGGCCCCTAGAGAGAACCTGACACACCAGTGTTACTCTGACACATGCTGCCTTATAAGGCTGGGCTTTCAAGGCCAGCATCCCACCAAGCCCACTGAGTAGCTCCCACAGGGGTTGGTATAGATTCTGTAAAACATAAAACCTCTCCTCCAAGGGGTCAGCACCTCATAAGGAGCCCAATAGGCCCGCCCAGAGACTCAGACTCGGCATAGGCTCTGTTGAAGGAGCCAACGAAGTGATGGCTGAGCAGGGATCACAGTGTCGGGGAGAACTTTTACAGAGAGATAGGGGATGGAGGAGGGGCACAGCAAGGGGAAAAAACAGAGATCCAAGTCCTCAGGGACAAGAGCAGAACAAGGTGGAGCACCCTTCACCCATCCTTCCCTCTAGGACTGCTCTCTGTCACGCCCTCCCTCTCAGTGCAGCCAGGTCCCAAGTGTCCTCTGGAGAGAAGGTAACCTTGCTGTGTCAGTCGTGAAGCCAGATGGACACTTTCCTTCTAAGCTTAATGTCCCAAGCTCAGCAGTACCAGGTAGAATTCTCCATGGGCAATGACCTTTGCCCTCTAGGGCACTTACAGGAGCTCTAGTTCTTGAAGCTCATCATCCTACCTATCATTAAACCCTGGTGCCCCTGTGGAGCTCAAGTCTGAGAGGACCCTTACCTGTACCTTCTGTGCTCAAAGGCTCACCCTGCCCCCAGAAGAACTCTTGGCTTACTAATTCTAAATTCTTATGAGTCAGGTAAACTTTGTTCTAAAGTGACTCAAATGCAAATTTAAAAAATATTTTATTTATATTTTTATTTTATTTTATGTGTTTCCTGCACGTACATATGTGCACCAGTGTCGTATAATGCCCATGGAGGTCAGAACAGGACATCAAATCCCCTGGAACTGGAGTTACAGACAGTTGTTAGCCACCATGGGGTGCTAGGAATCGAACCCAGGTCCTCTGCGATCGCACCCAGTGCTCTTAACTGTTGAGCCATCTCTCCAGCACCTCAGATGCAAATTTTGAAAACATAAAATACAGTGGGGCTGAAGACTCCAGTAGGAAGACCAGTAGGACCCTGCGGTGTCAGGGAAAGGGCTCAGCTGGGATCCGCATGAAGAAGTTATGTGATAAGAGCAATACACATTTCTAGGACATAACAAATACTGGAAATGGGGCTGGGGGTGCAGCTCGGTTGCCTAGCGTGTAGGAGGCCCAACATTGACTCCGAGCACTATAACAGAACTGTAAGTGCATGTTACAGTGTGGCCTGCATCAGCAGCAGTCAGGGAGTAGAGGCATAAGGATCACAAGTTTAACATCATCCTGGGCTATATAGTGAGTTGAAGTCCAGCCTGGGTGCCACGAGATCCTCTCCCAAAGGAAAGAAGAAGGGAAGGAAGGATGGAAGGAAGGAAGAGAAGGATGGAGGGAAGGAGTAATAAATTAAGAAATTTGGACTCAGCCGGGCATGGTGGCTCACACCTTTAATCCCAGCACTTGGGAGGCAGAGGCAGGTGGAGCTCTGTGAGTTCAAGGCCAGCCTGGTCTACATAGTGAGTTCTGGGCCAGCTGGGGTTGCAGGGAGTCCCTGTCTCAAAAAGACCAATAAACAAAAAAAAAAGAAAAGAAAGAAAGAAAGAAAAGAAATTTGGACTCATAAAATTATTTTATAAAAAAGTTAAAATAAACGCCATGTGTGGTGGCACATGCCTTTAATCCCAGCCCTCAGGAGGCAGAGATGTGAGATGGAGGCCACCCTGGTTCACATCATAACCTCTAGGCGTGCTGTGACTAGGAAAATCCTGTCATAAAACAAAACCACCGACAAAAAGACAGTAAAAGGTTGTAATAAAATAGACCTAGATAAAAATTTCACGCCATTTTTTTCTTTTCTTTTTCCCCTCCTTTATTTTATTTTATTTTTATTTTTTGATCTTTTTGAGACAGGGTCTCCCTGTAGCCCCAGCTGTCCTGGAACTCACTATGGAGACCAGGCTGACCTTGAACTCACAGAGCTCCACCTGCCTGCCTCCTGAGTGCTGGGATTAAAGGCGTGTGCCACCATGCCCGGCCCTTTATTTTTTAGATAAGTTCTTCCTATGTATTCCTGGCTGGCCTGGACCTCACTGGCTATGGAGATCAGCCTGGCCTTGAACTCATAGAGGTCTGCCTGCCTTTGCCTCATGAATGCTGGGACTAAATGTGCACAGCTTCTAAAAAATAAATATCCCTTTTCTTAAATTGACAAAAATTACTGAGAGATTAGAGAAATGACTCAGTGGTGAAGAGCGCTAGCTGCTGGTGCAGAGGACCTGGGTTTGGTTCCCAGTACCCACATGGCAGCTAACAACCATCCATAACTCCACTTCCAGGGGATCTGATGCCCTCTTCTGACCTCTGTGGCTATTGCATGGCATGGATACACTTGCATACATGCAGGCAATACACTCATACACATAAAATAAGAATATATAATAAATAAAATACTTTTGAAAAATAAAAATAAATGAGAGGGGTAGGAGGTAGGAAAGAGGGAAGGAAGGAGAAAGGAAGAAATGAACTAAAGATGTGGAACCCACAGGAAGCACTTGGGTCTCAAATATTTCTCAATCCTACTTACTTTCTTTGAGTCTCAGGAACAGCTCAGCCCATCAGCTCACCACCAAACATGTCAGACCCCAAGACAGGTGAGTAAGGAGATCTCCCAACTACAGGACTGGACACAGAGAATCAAGTCTTGTCCAGAGAAGGCAGGTGACCTTGCTGGACATCCGGTTTCCTGTGGTGATTTTGATCTGTCCTGATCTCTGTGACCTCTTTTTCCACAACCTCCAGCCTCACAGCTCCAGGATCACAGAGTGGAGAATCTCATCAGGATAGCTGTGGCTGGCTTGGTCCTCCTGGTCCTTGGGATTCTGCTGTTGGAAGCTCAGCACCGTCAGAGAAGGACCCATCCTGCAGTCAGGAGGTGAACAGGAGAGAGAACAGCGTATCTTGGAAAAAAGCTGAGAATCTTGAGTGGTTCTGTAAGACACGCTGAGACTTCCAGAGGGGAACTGTTGTCAGAGGCTGTCCAGGAGCAACTGTGATTTGGGTGCATGGAAACATCTGGCATCGTGGTGGAGACCTCTTCTCTGCTGGACCGTGATGCCCTCCTACCACCTAGTGTGCACTTCGGCTGACTGTCTCCCCTCTTCTCACCTCCATGATGGGGGAGGGTGATCCTGTCCTGTTCTCATTTGGGTCTTCACCTCTGCACATCTTCTTTCCCTCACCCTCATGTAACATTTTCCTTTACTATAAATTAACATATTCCCCATTTGCCTTATGAGTCTTCACCTTTTCTGCTGAGAACAAAAAACTTGGCTGAAATAACAAAAATAATGAGTAAAAAATAAGATTCCAAAGTGAAAAAAAATCTGAAGGCAAATGATGACCCTACGCTGTCTTTGGAACCCTCAAACACATCAGTCTTCAACACTTGTTCTTTGAAATATAGACTTGCCATCAGCCGGATGTGGTGGTGCATGCCTTTAATCCCAGCAACTCAGGAGGCAGAGACAGAGGTAGGTAGATCTCTGTGAGATCAAAGCCAGCCTGGTCTACATAGTGAGTTCCAGGCCAGTTGGGGCTGCAGGGAGACCCCATCTCAAAACGAAAAAGACTTACATCAACACACTTGTGTTTGAGGAAACTGGTGACACAGTTGAAATGATTTTTATATTTTTTTAAAAACCAACTCCTGGTGTGTGTGATCGTTCCTGATTACTGTATATAATTACTCCAAGGCAAACTTCATGACACCAGTGTGATGCCGTTTTTGTGGAGTTTAGAATTGATGTATGGAACCGATGTTGTATTTTGAATTTCAAATTCTGCTGTTCCTTGCTGGTTTTTATAAAATCAATTAAAATGTAAATTAATCAGTCTTCGATCATCCTGCTGATTATCAACTAGTTCGGTGAATTTGATTTTGAAAAATAATTCAGAATTTCTACATAGACAGCCACATTACCTATAATGACAATTATAATTCTTACTATGTGAATCATTTATTTGACTGGTCTTACTGCATTAGTTAGGTCCCCTCTTGTGAGCTGGAACTGTGGTCCCCTCCCGTGAGACAGGTTTGTGTTCCCATTGCATGAACCTAGAGCTATAGGCCCCTCCTGTGAGCTGGAGCTATGGTCCCTGCCTGTGATCTAGAGCTGTGATCCCCTCCTGTGAACCTGGAGCCTTGGTCCAGGGAACTGGCACAGTGGCCCACTCTCATGAGCCAGGGTTTGGGTCCTCTCCCATTAACTACAGCTGTGGTCCCCTCCTGTGACCTGGAGCTGTGACCCGCTCCTGTGAGCCAGAGCCATGGTCTCCTCCTGTGACCTAGACTTGTGGTCCCCTCCTATGGACCAGAGCTGTGATCCCCTCATGTGAGCTGGAGCCGTGGTTTCCTCATGTGAACCTGGAACTTTGGTCCCCTGCTGTGAGCCATGGTTCCACACTCCTCTAGTGATTGGCCGACAGTGGAGCAGAGGATGGAGGCTTCCCGATGTTGGAGAGCAGTTTCAGCTCTCTCTGAGTGACCGCTTGTCCCGCAGCCCCCTCCCTGAGGGCTCAGGTTGTGCATGACAGTGGCTTTGCCTCTGTGTTTGGAGTGTGCTGGAGACAGAGGAGGTCTCTGACATGTACAGATTCTGATCTTGGGAGGACTTATCTGTAGAGTGGACTTCCCACGCCCCCCTAAGGTCCAGCTGTGATCATCACTCCACACAGGGTCCTGGGCATCCAGGCCTTGATGTTAGGCAGACCTCTCCCAGTCCCAGAGACACCAAGAGATTTTCCATTATTTTTCTATTCCTCTTCTACAGCCCCAGTGTGCCTTCACCTATGCCCTAATTTAACTTTGGAGATTAAAAAAAAAAAAAACAGTTTGGGTTGTTATAAAAAAGAAATAAAAAGAAGCATAATTCTCAAACTAAAAATATGTGCTTATATCTTAGAATATAAATTAGTAGTTCTACATGCCTACTCCAATTTTTGATTATAACTAATGACAAAACTGTATTACCAAACTTCAATAATATGAAATTCGTCATGGTTTCTATGAGTTTGTTATTAACTCCCTTTCCAAATTCTAACTTATACTTAAACAAGTTTTTTAGTGCACTCATGTTACTTCTTAAAGAAAGCAATGATAATAAAATATTTTTAAATTTTAAAAAGTTAAGCATATCAGGGCTGAAAAGGTTTAAATGGGGTGGGGGTGAAAGGACAGAGGATGGTCAAGCAAACTTAGGATACTGGAAAGCTATAAACAAACCTATTAATATAGGGAGTAACTAAAAGAGCTAATTAATTTAAAAAGAAAAATTTAAAGGGAGGCACCCTGCATAAATGGATAATGTTGCTCCCAGAAGTCTTTAACCAAAATTCCAGGTTCTAGGTGTGGGAAATCTCTTTTTGAGTTGTTGGCCAGGGAGTCTCTAGAGACTCCAAAACAATGGAGGGTATTGCCATGGCTCTTGAACACCCAGCAGAACTTGATAGTAAGACTCTCTTACTGATGACCGCACATGTTGGGATGAAGAACAAGATAAATCAAGCTGGAACTGAGCGGGAAGTCTATACCCCACTGGATAGTGTTCATAGTGCCAGAAGGTGTTATGTAGACTGCTGGAGGAGAGAACGCATCAACAGTCCTATCCAGATGTGAGGCTCTGTGTACTACAGTACCAACCTGCCAGGCAGGAAGTTCCCACTGGTGCAATAGGGGCATGAATATTTTGGAGTTACCCAACCACTTTCTGATTGGACTTGAGGCCAGTTCACAGGAAGAAGTGCATACATACCTGGTACTGTAAACCTGGGGGAAAAAAACCAATGGACAGGTATGTGATAGGCCCTAGGAAGAAAATTATTTCTGAAATTAAATTAAATGAATACATATAATCGAATTACCTTCTTTTTAAATTTAAGTAGTATTTTACTGATTCTTCAAGAATTTCACACAATACATTTTTTTAGTTTTTTTTTTTTTTTTAGTTTTAAGGTGTTTAACTGATACAGTAATTGTTCACATTTCTGAGGTGCAGTGTCATTTCAACACATGCCTAGAATGTATTGGGGCAATTAACACACCTGTCATCTCAATGGCTACCAGTTACTGTGCTGGGTGTGGTCAAATCCTCTTTGCTAGTAGAAATGGTTGAAGACCTAAGGATCATGTTTTTTTTTATCTTTTTGAGACAGGGTTTCCCTGTACCCACAGCTGTCTAGAACTCACTATGCAGACTAGGTTGGTCTTGATCTCACAGAGATTTTACGTGCCTCTACCTCCCAAGTGGGATTAAAGGTATGTGTCACCACACCTAGCCTAAGGACCAAATATGCAAATTTAATGAAAAGTTCTAGCCTATATGGGCCTTGGCCTGTTGTTTAAGAATTGGGTTCTGATCCCGGAAGATGGAGTAGAAAGAATGTAAGAGCCAGAGGGACAGGACACCTGCTGCTAGTTAGTGCGTTCTGGGCATGGTAGGGAAGCTGCACCAACAAAATCTCCACTGTATGGTAGTCTAACAAACCCTGCATAATAGCAAAACCAGTTGACTATCCAAGGTGGATAGATGCAGGAATGTCACAGGGTCCCACCTCAGGATGAAGAGCTACAGGCAATCAATGGCCGCTGAGGTAGAGCAATCAGTTTTCTTGGAGGCTATCTCATCTCAAGTGGGCAGCCCTAAACACAGGTGCACACGCACAGCACTGAATGGACTCAATGCACTATATATATACACATTATATATAAATGTAGGCATACTTATGTAATAATAATCAAAGAAGAGGATAAGAAATTGGAGTTGAGGAGCAAGGTGGGGGTCTAGGTGTGATTGAAACAATTCAAAGACAATACTCATTTATGAAATTCTCAAGGAATAAAAAAAGAAGCTCATTTATATATATATTTGCATTGTCACATGTAAAATACAAATAAAGTCAATATAACATCTTGGTATAACTGTAATAAATGTCAAATAAAAAGCTATGAACTTTTAGCTATGTAGATTTTGGATATATTATTTATATATAATATCTGTATATATGATTTGTATTTATTGAAATATTTTCATCCTGAAACTGAACATATTGATGTTTTGTGAATTGTAAACAGACAAAGGCCAATTGCTTGTCAATCACTGCTGGATGAGGAAGAGTTGATTTTTAAGGGAGTGATGCTAGATAGGCTGAACAGACTCTAGTAGATGAACTCATTTGGTGACACAAACTTGACTTGGTAGGCCTTAACATATATGACAGAATGCATGAAATCCAGTGGGCGGGCCATGGAGGAGGAGCAGATGGGGTAAGGGTAAATATGATTAATATGTATTGTAAGAAATTCACAAAAATGATATAATAAATATACATTAGAAATAAAACAATTTCATATAAAAAATAATTGGATTCTGGGTTTCAGAAATAATTATTGAGATGAAAGATTGTGATTTTTCTGAATGAAATTGTGATGCATCCTACAGTGCAGAAATGATATAATAAATATACATTAGAAATAAAACAATTTCATATAAAAAAAATTGGATTCTGGGTTTCAGAAATAATTATTGAGATGAAAGATTTTTCTGAATGAAATTGTGATGCATCCTACAGTGCAAATGAACTTAGGAACTGCTCAGTGAGTGACCAGTTGTCATATACTGTGCAACTCCAACCATAAGACACATGCAGAAGACACAAATCCTCAGATGCAGAAAGCGGGAGCCGAGTGGGTGGGGGCAGTGACTGCTTGGATGGCATTAGGTTCTCTTAAGGTGGTAATATCTAGAAGCTGCATACAAGTGACAGCCATTTAAAAGGAGAATTTGCATCATTAACATATGTACCTCAACACGATGGTTCATTTTTATGTTGTGTGACTATTACATAATTAAGGAAAATGAAAAAGGACATGAAGGC